CAAAAATACTCATTTTTCCCTACACCTTCCCTATGGAAAGATCGACCAATCCCCACTTTCGTAAAAGACTTTTCCTCTCATAGTCAACTAAAACCCCAACTATTATATACCATTCGATAGAGAATTTCAAGAGCTACAAAATGGTATATAAAACATAAAGAAACAAGAAGGTTGACTCATCTATCACAAAGATAATTAAAGAGAACTAGGTTAGATTTTTGTCCACGATCTAATTGATCCACAAATAGAGCTCTATCTTCCGATCACAGTGATGATACTTCGAGGTTTTCAGATATGGAGAACTCGAATCTGTATTCCACTTCCATCGAAATACTATTGGTTGAGCAGTGACCAATAGAAATCAAGTTATAGGAAAAACTACTTTCTTAGGGTAAATCAAGGGGAAGAGTTCAAATTTGAGCTGTATTCGGTCCCAAGTCCTATTGGTTTGGCAATACTCAATAGAAATCAACAGTTTAGAGGGTAGGTTCCCCAGTATAATTTTGATGTCCACATATTCTAGGATGGCTGATTCGTCTGATTCACTTTTTGAAGTACACATAACTCTCGGATTTAAATCCGAAGTTTCCCCATTTATATTCTTTTAAATTAGATTTCATTAAGAGTAGAAAATTAATTAAAACTCGAAATTAACAAATTGACCATAAAGTTCAACTGTTGATGTCTCTTCAAATTCAATTTGTCCACTGAAGATATTAATTGAAATTGGTTCATCAATTTGATTTGTTTTTCGTGTTATTTGATCATTTTGAATCTGTTGAATTAAATTATCAAATTTGACAAAGATTTCTTTGATGTAAATTGAGCTCAAAATATTTCTTTGAAAAATAAGTTCTTTCTTTTTCTTCGTTTATTTATTTGTCATTTGCCTATTTGAAATTGATTCATTCAACTAATATTAGACCACGTAAGGCTTTACGCACGAGATGTGCCCTTTTCTCTTCATTTCCTTCTTTAATTTCAATATCAGTCGATGATGTGTCTGTGGATCTCCCATTCACTTACATTCGCGTCCACAGAAAAGTATAGTAAGATACAAAAAAGAATAACATGCCTGGCCGGAATCGAACCTGCGACTGTTGTTTGACAAACAAGTATGTTACCACTACACTACTGACACTTGACATGAATGACAACCATGATTCTATACAATTTCATCGTTTGAACATCGCTATTGTCAGAATGCTCATGAAATTTGGCAAGATGAGGGATAGAAGACATTAGTGTACACGTTGGACTTTATATACATATCTCTTTCTTTTCTTCTTCTCTTCTGATTGCTTTTTGCTTGGCGGATAGGGTGTGTGTTCTATTGTATCGCAACTGCACTCACAGACATGTATACTAAGATTAAATTTGCGTTCAAAAATGAAACGTAGTATGAAACCTGAAAAAAATATTGATAATGTTTTCGAAAATCTTGTCGTTCCTTCATGTATAAGACGCATGTGCGCAAGCAATACGTCACCATTAGTACTCACTCAGGTAAACAGGAAGAAAGAAAGAAAAAAAAGAATATCGTGCCAGGCAGGAGTCGAACCTACGGCAGTTGTTCGACAAACAACCATGTTACCATTACACCACTGACACTTGCCATGAATTATAACCATTTTTCTAAGCATTTTCAACAATGCGACTTCCTCCATCGGAATTTCCAATACTGTCAAACTTGAAAGTTGAATTCAGTTGAACCAAATGACAAGGAAACCTCCCAAGTGCCAGAGCGCTTTTCAGTCAGGGTTTCGTGCATCTTGTAGCCCATAGTGAGCTATGTCTACGGTGGAAAAAGTTCGGGCTCCTGGCTTGTTTCTGAGGAGATATCGAGCTCCTAATGGATTTTCTCTATAGTACACGTACATTAGCAGCAAAGCTATATTTTCGAATTTTGACCTGAAACTTTGCCTGTATAAAGACCTCAGCTAGACTAACTTGCATAAAAGATTTAAAACTACTGAAATTTTTTGTGCAAGCTAGTCCAACTGAGGCCTATATACAGGCAAAGTTTCAGGTCAAAATTCAAAAATATAGCTTTGCTGCTAAAGTAGGTGTACTATAGAGAAAATTCATTAGGAGTTTGATATCTCCTCAGAAACAAGCCAGGAGCCCGAACTTTTTTCACTATAGACATAGCTCACTATGGGCTACAAGATGCGCGAAACCCCGACTGAAAAGCGCTCCGACACCTGGGAAGTTTCCCTTGTTAGTACTACTTCCTGAACACCCAGAAATATGGAAGCAGCGGTCTTCGAGGACGGCCAGTGCGAATATGAGGATCATTCGCCTCGAAATCTGATAGGTTGTTTGGAAACCAATAGGAATTCAGCTCTTAAAAGAATACACCCAAACACTTATGACTTTAAGTAAATGATAGGGTCTGGTGTTTTTAGAAGCGATGAGTGCGAATCTGAAGTCCATATGCCTCGAAATCTGATAGGTTGTTTGGAAACCAATAGGAATTCAGCTCTTACAAGAATAGATCCAAACACTTATGCCTTTAAGTAAATGATAGGGTCGGGAGTTTTTAGAAGCGGTGAGTGTGAATCTGAAGTCCATATGTCTTGAAATCCTATTGGTTATTTGGAAACCAATAGGAATGCATCTCTTAAAAAAATAGACCCAAACACTTATGCTTTTAGAAAAATGATGAGGCAGGAGGCTTTTAGAAGTGATGAGTTCGAATATGAGGTCCATTTGTTTCCAAATCCAATTAGTTGGTCGGAACCCAGTAGAAGTTCAGCTCTTGAGAAACAAAGCAAAACACTTATACTTTCAAGAGAAGCGTGGGGCAGGGGGTTTTCGAAGCGATGAGTTCGAATGTGAGGTCTACTTGCTTTGAAATCGTATTGGTTAGCCGAAAACTAATAGGAACTCAGCTAATTAACGTTAGGTTGTTAGGAGAAAAGTCACGTAGAGGTTCTAGAGACAATTAGTTCGATTTAGGAATCTAAGCACTGAATGGGTACAGAGTATGGAAGCGAGTATCTTCTTTTGTTTATATAAATAACAATCTTTGTCTACCTGTTCTTTGTACATGTGATTGCGGTAATAACTAGCGCCATCAAAATCTCCATGGTGTACTTTTTAGTCGAGAGAAAAATTGAGAGTAGATTGGCGCTCCAGACAAGGAAAGGAAGGGAATTGGATGTAATGTCAACTGGGTTGTGAAACGTGGACATTCTCTAATCTCTATCTCTGATGTATGATGAGAAAAATAATATTGACAGACTGCGCAAAGAATAAGCATGCATTCATACCACGAATACCCATGGTTCCTACTGATATGCCTTTTTAATTCAAACGTCTACAATTTTCAGTTCGTCTCGCCTTCGCGATGTCCATCAACGAAGTTCAAAGACAGTCTCTTAAGACTGCGAGCATTAACCTGGAAATTCCTTGCTTTTCTCATGGTCAACTTTACCT